TTCCATTGGGTATGAATGGGCCAAGGAAATGTGTTATGATGGAATACTTTTCAGCCATTAAAAGGATGAAATTTTTGTTACTTATGACAACATGGATAAAACTGAGCTCATTATGTTAAGTTAAATAACCCAGACACAGAAAGGTAAGTAGTGCATGATCTCATTATGTGTGGAATTTGAAAAACTGATCTGTAGAAGTGGGGAGTAGAATAGTGTTTTACAGAAGTAGGAAATTTTAGAGGGTGGAAGGGCTGGAGAAAGGTTGTTCAACAGATGATAAATTATACTTAGAAACAAGAAGCTCTGATGTTTATGTTACTATGGGTAACAGTAATGCACTACATATTTTAAAAATCCTAATAGAAAGGATTTTGGATGCTTTCACCACATGAAATGACAAATGTTTGAGGAGATATTTTCAACTTAATTCAAACATTACCTAATATATGCATTGAAACATCACCTGGTACCCTGTAAACATGTAACATCATTATATCTCAATTAAAATGTTATGATAAAAGCATCTTGGTAAATATATAGATGACTCTTCCTCAGTACAATTCAGAATTTTAAAATATAAACATCCTTCACATGCTTTTCTATTTTAACTTATAGATTCTCCTCTTGCATTAAAGTCGTAGATCTTTCCATAATTACACTGAAAACATGTATCTTCCGCTAAGTCATGTTGTTGAAAGTGACATTTCATTCCTTTCAGACCAGTCTTTAGAAAATAAAACAGTCATAACCTCCAGTATTAAATGAAACTTCAAGTATTTAAATTCAAAGCCAGCTAATATTTCTTGAGTACCTATTATATGTTAGGTACTTACCTAGGTATTGAGGTATGGCCTAACCCAAACCCTCGAATCTCCCTGCCGTGAGGAGCTTACATGCTAGCAAGGGGCAGTACATGGTAAAATCAATAAAGGAGGTGCACAGGGCGCCACCTGGTGGATACTTCCGTGGAGAAAAGCCAAGCAGCAAAAAAGAAGAGAGCGCTAAGGAAAGTGGGTTTTGATGTTAAACAGGCATGGCTGGACACCTCCCTGACATGACTGTGCACAGACCCGTAGCAGGTGAACGGGCACGGCAGGCAGGTGGCACCCGGAGCGAGAGTTTCAGGCAGAGGCAAAAGCCCAGCGGAGGCAGGGCCTGGTCTGCTCGAGGAGCAGCACGGGGAGGTCCAGAGAAGCTGGAGCAGTGTGGCGGGAGTGGTGGAAGGTGGCTCTTTAGAGCAGAGGGGCAGTGGCACAGATCCTGACTTAGGGGCTCTGTCATGACCTTGGTCGTATCCAGATTGTAACAGGAAACGGCTGACGGGTTTTGAATAGGAGAGTGAATTATTTTGTGCTTTTCAACTATTACCCTGGCTGCTATACTGGAAGCAGACTTGTGCATGGCAGGATGAAGGAAGGCCAGGAGGAAGGATGAAGCGAAAGCGAGTGGTCCTTGCCGGCGTCACATGGAAGCTGACGGTGAACCAACCAATATGGTAATGACACAGGTGGTGAGAGGGAGCTGCAGTGGTTAGGACCTGGAGGAGCCTCCAAAGGCCCATGTGTAGGAATGTGGTCCCCAGCTGGTGCTGCTGAAGGCGGTGGGAGCTTTATGAGGTCTTCAGGTCACTGGGGTGTGCCCTGAAGGGGACCCTGGGGCCCTGGCACTCTCGCTCCTTTTTGCTTCCTAGGCACATGGTGAGAAGTTTCGCTCCTCCATACACTGTGCTGGGCTGCTTCTCCACAGGCCCAAAGCAAGAGGGCCATGGACCATGGAACCTCCACATGATGAGTCAAAAACTTTTCCCTTGAAAGGTGATTTGTTCAGGTGTTTGTTACAGTGTCAGAAAACTGACCAACACATTGGTGAATTGTAAACGTGTTTTGAAAGGCATGTTAGTGCACTCCTGATGGATTTGATGAGCATGAAAGAAAGAAAGGAATAAAAAATGCTGTGATGAGTTTTGGTGTCAGTTACAAAGAAAGAGCTTGAAGGAAGAGCTGAGTTCAGGGGCTGGGGTCAGAAGCCTGGCTGGAAACGTGCTGAATCAGAAACACCGGCTAGATATTCAGGTAGCAAGAACGAGTGTGGAGCTGGGGACAGGAATCTGGCCTGAAGAGAATCATGAATGCACCTGGACAACTGGTCACTCTCAAGCTGCAGGCTGTGTGGAGAGCATAAGGATGGATGAAGCCACTGCAGGAGCAAGTGTAGACAGAAAAGATGCCCAAGCCATGAGCAGCGAGTCTCTCCAGGGAGGGAGATGCAGGAAAATTACAAACTAAATCAAGGAAGAGCATGCAGTGAGGTGAGGGGGAACTAAGGGAATCTGGTGCCCTGGACGCCAAGAGAGAAACATGTTTTGTGGGAAGGAAGCTGTCTGCTAAGTCCAGCCCTGCTGTCGGGTCAGGCTTAATGAAGGCTTAAAATTGGCCACTGGATCAGCAAGTTGGTGTTCAAGGTGACCTTGGCAGGAGAAGCTTCGGTGGATTATTGGGGGCAGAACCCCGACGGTGTGGGTTCCAGTAAGAACGGAAGTGGGTAATTCTCAGTGTTAAAATACTTCTTGTTTTCACAGTCCAGATTTGAAAGTGGACTTTAACTCATAGCCAATCTTGTTTTAATTATACACAAACAAACCCCATTATGAAGTTCCCACTGACAAAACACATCTTTAAAAAAACAAATTACATGTGGCCCACAGTAGTAAACAAAGTGAACAACAACCGAGCTATAGCATAATAAGCAGGACTTTATAGGTAATCTAATCCATATATTCTCAAATTTGGGCCAGACTTTAGACACTACCCTTTAAAAAAAGTTATTAGCCATCGAAAGGATAGTATTATTCTCCACAGTCAACTTTAAATTTACTCAGAAGCCACCAGCCCATTCCCCAAGTGTCACTGATTTTTAGGTTAACCCAGACTTAAGAATGCTGCCACAGTAGCTTACCAAAGAAGAGAGGACACAATGACAATCTTAGTCCTGTTATGTGACCTAAGAACCTAAACTGAATTGGAAGGTAAGTCAATTGTCCTCTAAACTAATTTAGGAATCAAGGCAAAATTTTGGACTGCCTCAGAATTCAACATTACTCCCCTCCCTTGTGGAAATGGGCTTACACTGACACTTGGGATCTGTCCCAGGCGTCACTGTGTCCATATCTGTGTGCTATATTTATGTCCTCTAAAACTTTTGGGCTCAAATTGCTTTGAGAGACCATTTTGTTTGGCATGTTACAAATGATGGGTTACTTTTCCTTTCCTGAAGTTCATAAAGGCTTTCTTAGCTTTCTTGGGTATCTACTGTAGAGTAACCCCGGGACCTCCTCCCCAGCCATTTGCCATTGTCCTCTCAAAACTTACCTAAGTCTGGACAGACCCTTACAAGCAAAGTGAAGTGGGAGAAGTCCGTCTCACACAGCCGTTTCTGCCCTTGAGCTCATAGTACTGTCAAGCAAGGACCAGGGGAGACCGCTACCAACTGGGCTAAGAAACTGTTAGTTTCCAAATTGGGAAATTCATCCCAAGGAAGAAGTACATAAAAGGATTTCTGCATTATGAAAAATGTAGAAAAAGCAACAAGAAAGCCTTCATGTACCATGTGGCCAGAAATCCAGGAAGCAGGTGTGTTTTAGAGTGTAGTCCTCTTCATTATTTTTCCAACATAAGAAATTTTGTACATAAAGTAATGCAGCTAAGGTACCAAAATATATGTGACCATCATTCTGTAACCAACTATGATTAATATAGCTATAAGCTATGAAATTTAATTAATTATTCAAGCAATAGCTAGAGTCTATTTACTTGATACAGTTCATATTCCACTGGGGAGAGAGAAACAAAATATCTAACTCTAATCCAATGTATTTGGTGCATTAGTAGATGTACACCACTACTTAAGCTTTTTGTATGCTCCAAAGATATAGCTTTTAGAAAACTCTGAAAATAGTGCCTTATTAAGGGAGAAACACACAATAAAGACCTTTGCTTTAAACAGGGTTGAAGTGTAACAGTATTACATTACAGCAGAGTTTATGAGTAAAGTATTAGAGGTTAACTGGTACTAATCTTTGACTTCTCATTTTATAAGCATAGGATGAAAACTGTTGCTTAAAACATACATATCAGAGTCATTAAAAATGAAGAGAAAGGATGTTAGATTGGATCCTGTTCTTACTTTCCTAGAATAAAATTTAGTACCTATGAACTTTCTTTGGTCTGTAAGTATGAAGCCTTGGAATTCACATAGAGTACAGTAAAGAAGGAATATTTTAAGCTAACAGCTTCTTTGCACACCATGCTTTATTCTGATATTGCCAGGTTTCCTTGTGTTTTTCAGCAAAAAAATATAAAAATAAGCTTTACGAAAGCAATAAGAAAACAATTCATGTGATTTAAGGAGTCATTCAAAATATCCTTGACCTTGTAGAGAGAAATGTCATATGAGCCACAGAATAGTATTTTTGGCTTCATGATCATATTAACATGAGTTTGTCTCACTTACATGCTTCCTTCACTAAAACTTAGTAACTCTTCAAGATTTATGAACTCCTAGGAGATTATAAAGATTCTCTACCTTGTAGAGTTATAAGAAATAATGCATTTCATGGTCACAATGTGCTTCATGAAAATAAATATTATCTCAGCTCACTTTACAGACTCTGAATATGCTTTTTGTTCTTTTAAGTATCCCGTATCAGATGAAATTCCTCTTTTTCAGCTCCCATAACTTTTGTGCACAATATTTCCGACATCTGGAGAAAATCTCTGGATATTGAAATGGAATAGGCTGGGTCCATCAACTAGTCAAAAGTGCCACCTACTGGCCAGTCTTTGAACCTACTTCTGTGTTCATCCAAGCGTTGCTTTGCCGTAAAAAGATTCCTTCCTTCCAAAGAGTATAGACCACTTCCAGTAACCAGACTTAAAGCAAGTATTACTTAAACAAAAATTCATCTTCTCTAGCATAAACCAAAAATATCAAAGTGCACAAACCTGCCAATAAAATCATCCCTTTTCCCAGCATCTTTGTCCCATGCTGTGATATCAATGATTCCTCCTCTTTCTTCATAGAGATGAAAATCAAATTGTTCCCTCCATTGAGGATTTAAAGTTTTGGGCATAATCTGGAAAACAGAAAAGGCACTGTTGTCTTATCAGTTGCAGCCTTTTGAAAAATTAACGTGAGATACTCAGTTAAAATTCAGGTAGCATCCAAAAAAAATCTTCTTAATTGTGCTATTTGAACTAAAGTTTTCAGATAAGTGAAAATGAATCACTAGATTTCTAATAACTTTACTACTCAACAGCATAAAGGATCTGTCCCTCCAAATTAAAAGTCATTCCTTGATTATCCTACATAGTAGATGAGAAATAGGAAGCCTATACAGAAAATAAACAGCCTGTAAATAAAACAGCTCACTCAGGTACTAGCATTCCTTCTACATCATCACTGACAGATAACGACATAACTCATAGTCATCTCATAACAGAAGAAAAGCAGGCTTTCCAGGGTTTCTTTCATTTTTCCTTACTTTCACACGCATTGGAATCTTTAACTGAATACGTGGGAAACAGACAATGAAATTTTGTGAGAGCGGAAAAGAAAAGCAATAGCTTTAGGCAAAATTTAACCTGAGAATTATAGCATTGCTACATTGCCCTGTAAAATATGGGGAAAAATATGGAGTGTGTGATCTTCCTTTGAATGTACAAGGAAGATATCTGAGGTGCAATTTTATAACTACAAGTATTCAGAAAAGATACCTTGTGGAATCAACAAAGTGACCTATGCTGATATGTTTTAAAATTCCAGTCACCCTTTGGTTAAACAACACTTGTATGTTTCTCTGTTCTTTCTCCTCCCCCCATTTTTCTTAGCAGCTGGGTATGCAGTGGCCTTTTCTCTTTTTAATAGATGACAGACAGCTCTTTAGATGTAAAGAGTTTGTTTGCAAAGGTAGTACAAATGAATCACAATTTTTAAAGTTCACAATCTGAAACGAATCAGCAATAGATCACAAAGAAAAAGAGCAGAGAGAGACAGACGTCTATAGCTGCGTTTCATATTTCATACCTAAAGAACAGAACTACAGAAATGATATCTGTAGCCTACTGAAACATAGAAGTGGTGTCAACTGAGAGAAGACAAGGATGAAGTGGTCATAGATACCTATTTTTGGAAAGAGCAACTACTTTAAAATTTATTAAGCTCCTTATCAGAAAAATAGTAGATGGCACAGGTGAATGCTATAATAATTGAAGTGTCTTAAATTGGGCTCAGATAAACATTTCTGGTATTTTGGAACGTGGTGTGGCCTTTTTATTTGGCCTCAACAGACTAGCGTTTCAATTGTTTTTCTCCTTTTAGAGGTCAGAAATGATCCCTTCCTTTCCATGCGTACTTCAAGAAGTGAACAAACAGCTGGCTGGCAGTGCTCCCTGCCTACTGTACGCTATTTCCAACCACCCTAGGTACCGAGGAAAACTTCTGCCCCACAAGGGGAATAGACAAGCTGCTGAGGCAGGAGGACCACCAGTTCAAGCTCAGCCTGGGCAACTTAGCGATTTAGCAAGACCGTGTCTCAAAGTACGTAAAAGAAACTTTTAAAAAGTCTGCAGATATGGCTCAGTGAGAAGACCCTGGATTCAATCCTCAGTACTGTAGAAACAAAACCTAAACCAAACTGAAACAAAACATCTGTGAAAATGATCACCTCGGGCAAAGGAATTCTCAAATTAGAAAATGATCTTTAATTCAGGATGGATGTAATCATTTGTGCCATACTGTCTATGAACACCAGCTGTAAAAGCCAACTAGGAAAGAGGTATGGTTGAACATATATGTATGTTCATATATGTATACATATATGTATGGCTAACTATGACCATACATATATGTTCATATATGTATGAACATATATGTATGTTCATATATGTATACATATATGTATGGCTAACTATGACCTTTACTGATTATCATTACTTTTATCAATACTACACTATTATTATTATTTAACATATTATCACTAGTAATATAATTATTATATAATATACTTATTACAACTGCTGCTTTTCATCCTCCTTATTTGCTATTACCACTTACTGTGTTTTAGTATCAGAAAACTAGAGACATGCAGAACATATATTCATTTAACCTTTTCAATAACTCTCATAGCTAGGAGTCATTTTAATTTTCTCTTTTACAGAAGGGGAAATTGAGGCATGGTGAGATTGCTTATGGCGGCAGCAGAAATTTGACTCATTGTTTCCTACAAACATTTAAAAACTTGCACTCTGCATTTGTGCAAGTTATGTTGAATAAAATGACCTGGAGAACCTCACAAAGACTTTCATGGTATATAAAATAATAGTATAGACGCTAGCACTTTTTGTAATTATAATAGGATCTCTTTGTTCTTGCTGGGTCATGGCTCCTTTCTAATCTTCTTTATAATTCTCACAGGGATGCTGAAAGATAATTCCTACATCATAGATGAAGAAATTGAGACATAGTGAAGTTACATAGTTTACCCAAGGTTGCCTAGTACATAAACGAATACAATTGTTGATGGTGTTTTTGGATATGGCATTTAAAAATTCTCCCAAGCATTTAAAAATTTCCAGTGTTTTCATCTCCAAAAGCATGGTTATTAGCCAACCAGTATGGACAGGAAGAGTATGGACAGGAACGCAGGAAGCTCCGGTATGGACAGGAATGCGGGGGAGAAAGCAGAGAGATACCTTGCTCTTGTACTTCTGATGCCCGAGCCGGAACTTCACGTAGGGGTCACTCAACCCATTGGAATCCATTGCTTTCAGATCTCGCCCTTCAATCAAGGTGATGCTGACTATTCCTCTCCACAGATGGGATTTTCTGTGTTGGTCCGACAGACGCAAACTTTGGCTCTGAAATTTTGGCAAAGAAAAAGTGAATTAGATCAGTGTGTTTTATTAGTGTGTTTGTGGTGGTTTTTTTTTCATTTGTTTTTGTTTTGTTTTTGAGACAGCATCTTTATATGTATTCCAGAATGGGCTGGAGCTCATTAAGTAGTCCAAGCTGTCCCTGAACCTGAAGCGATCCCCTTGCCTCAGACTCCTAAGTGCTGGGATTGCTTATTGGTTAGCCCTATTTGCCACCTACCCCTATCTATATTACGCCCAGCACATTATAGTATTGTGTTTTAAATCCAAACATTGTATGTCCTTTGGCCTTATTCTTTCCCCTTTATATTTTTTCAAAAGATAGGCAGTCATTAACAAAAACAACTTATGAAGTACTAACTACTTATTAATTTCAAAATTATTAATAAATTATGAAATTATTCTTGATAAGTTTGCTATATGAAGGAGGCGAGTGCTCAAATAAAGACAGTCTCGCTTTTCACATCTTCACATTACAAGATGTAGATGCTTCAAGAATGTCAGAGATTATTTGCATTTGTGTCAAAATGCCTGTCAAAATAAATATGGTCAAAATGAGTACTGTAAATATCAAAGATTGCATCTATACTGTATGTATTTGATGTTTAATTATTTATGGTTTTGAAAGATTTTTTTCATGTTACAAATGGGTTTTATGGGGTGGTTAGTTGCAAGATTAGTTTCAAGTTCTATTTAGGTATTTAAAAACTTTTTTGCCACATTAGGAGATAATTGGGTTCCAGCTCAATAAGGAACTACTAAAGTATCATAGAATACAAAATGAAATCAATATGGCCATCCAAAATATTTTCCTTCTAACTGAAACTTGCATCACAGATATTTACAATTTTTTTTAAAGTTACACTTATGATTTATATAGGCAAGTGTGTTTCTGGATTTATTTCTTATTCTAGCACTTTAACATTTTTTTTTTTTTTACTGATTCTTATTATGCTCAATTCTAAATCACAACATTCAAGCCAGTGAGCAAAATCAGAAGTCTGTAAAATTAGCAAGTCTACTAAAAATGGTAATGTAACTTCTCTTAACTATATAGCAAATAAAACAGAAAGTAGTTAAACATTACAACAGTTTGAAGTGGGACTGAATGTTAAATAATACTATAAAGTTATTATTTCTTTTTAATTATCAAGTATGTTTTTCCAGTTAGTCATTTCATGAAGTAATTCAGCATTTCTCTGAATCTCAAAGTATTCTACTCCTTAATTATTGGTTAACCCTATTTGCCATCTACCCCTATCTATATTACTGTGATAATGTTAGGGTCTATTTGGTACAGTTTGCATTTCCATTTAGACTTCCTACAGTTTCTGCATGTCATAGCAATGCCACAGTCATTCTTATACATCATCATCAAAAGTCATGTGCTTTGACAAGGAAAATAAAAACTATATTCTTTCAAAGACAATAGTTCCAGTACTTGGCCATTTCAATAAATCTTTCTAAATCACATTGCGCATTTCTCTACCACATTGAAGAGCAAATTTTGAACATTGTGGCTGGCTTTGCTTCCTTGGTATCAATACACTCCGCACTCTGTGAGCTTCACCCGCAGTGATCTGCAGGGCAACAGAGGGTTCATGAAACACCTGCCAGCGCCCCAGAACTCCTCTGTGCCCCTCATTAACATATATGCATGGACTGGGTTTCTATATTGGATCTTGTTTGAACAAAGGGGTTCAAAATATTTAGAATTGGTATAATGACTGATGGCTAATGGTATCTTTTAATTTTGTTCTAACAGGTGATTGATTGATTGCTTTAATCTACTTTTGCTGCTCCATCTTTGAAAGAAGAGCCTGGAGAATCAGGTTTGGAACTTTGGAACTGAAACTTTCATTAAAGAATCTGAGTGGCAAAGTAGGAAGGCAGACGTACAAATACAGTATTGTGGCAAGAAGAAATATTTGTCTTAGCAAAGACTGCTCATTTAAACAGAGCTTTTGACTTATACGCTTATTGAAGAATGTATATAAAGGCCATCTTCCACATATTTTCTAGAAGAAGTCATACATGACATGCAAGTGACAGTTAAGTACAATCTGGGTTGTACAACATCTTCAGCTGAGAATGCTGTTAGTTTCTTTAATAATAATATGCCTGAAACCCTGACTTGTCCCTCTTCCCCAAAATAAGAGAAAACAGAGTAAGGAGTGGAAAAAATTCTTTCCATGGATCTTTCCTGCTTTCATAGTAATAGAAGGAATTTAAGGCCTTGTTTGCTTTCTGCCATTAATGGTTAAGAAATCCCTTTTTGTAATGTTGAAGAATATTTCCCAAGCAACTTGGGAAACAAAGGAGGAAGAGGAAGAACAGTATTTCCTCATAAAATGATAAAATATGGACATTAAAGTGGCCTCTGCAAAGACTGCAAAGAAGAGAGAGGGTTTCTAAAAAATATACCAATCATACATCTTAAAAATAATTTTTCTTCTTCAGTAACTTTTATTTAAAATTCCACATTTCTAAAAGAAACTTTGTTTTTTTGTTTTTTGTTTTTTTTTTCCTCCGGTACCGGGAACCGAACTCATGACCTTGCGCTTGCCAGGCAGGCGCTTTGCCGCTGAGCTAAATCCCCAGCCCCTCTAAAAGAAACTTTGTAACTCAGCTGTGAATTCTATTGGATAACTACATAATTGTGGGTAAACACACAGCCACTAAACAGGTAGACATTTAGCTGAAGCATGGAAAATAGAAAATTGACGTGCAATTCTCAGATAAAGGTGGAAAATATAAAGTTAGGGTTCCCTCATAGTAGAAACCATAGTTCCCTCATAGCAGACTCCTCATAGTAGAAAAAACCCAGACATTGAAATACGGTCAGTTCTCCACATCCTTGGGAGAATTCAACCAACCATGAATTGAAAATGTTTAGGGAAAAATTAATTGCATCTGTACTGAACATAAAGAGACTTCCTTCCTCTTGTCACTATTCCCTAAGCAATACAGTATCACAACTACTCACTTAGAATTTACTCTGTATTTGGTGTTATAAGTAATCCAGAGATGAATATACAGGGGGATGTTTGCAGGTTATATGCAAATATCACACCGTTTCGTGTAAGGGACTTGAGCACCTCTAGATTGCGGTATCCACGGGGTGAATGGGGTTGGAGCTAAGCTCCCTACCAGACTTCGCATGCTGAAGGATGACTGTACTCACTTCTGTCTAGTGAGTCCTCTGTGACTTGGGCATGTTGCTCCCTCTCTGAAACTTGATTTTCTTATTACTTTTCAATAAATTTTCTTATTTTTGTCAATTGGATTTCAATGGTTTCTTATTGTTTTTTAAACTTCATTTCCAGGTCCCCAAATGTACTCAGAACACTCTTCTGTGTGTGCATATGGGGGGCAGAGTGGCGGAGACAGTATGGGAAAACGTACATTCCATAGACACTGAAGACCTGGCTTCCCGAAGGGAGCTGCCATTCATTATTTCACCTATTTTTAAAATTCAAGGTTCTGGGAAGCTCATTCAAGGGATGGTAATGAGCAGAACTGCACAGCCTTAAAAAAAACCTTTCAAACCACTAAATTTGATGCTCTCCAAGGAACATTCTGAGTCACTTTGCTCTGTCTCAAACGCTCCCTTCTCTGCACAGCAGTCTTGCAAATGTGTGGTCCATAGAGCAGGCGCATCGGTGCCACCTGGAACTTGCCAGAAACTGAGGTTCTTTGGCTCATTCTCACTAGAGCGGCATCAGAAGCCCTGGGAGTGGGGCCCCGCCCTCTGGTTTAATCAGTCATTAATCAGCAATTCTGACACACATTTTGGTGCGTACAGCATAGGCTTTCGTGTGCACTGGCCTTCCCTGTGTCCTATTATCTATCGTTAGTTAACATAATTGCAAACATTTTCCTCTCTCTGGCACAGATTATGCTGCTTTTAAATTTAATGATCAGGAGAGCAGATTAGTCTGGATATTTAGAGAATTTAAAAAGAGAAGTAGGAGCTTACAGGAACAATTATGAAAAGCTTAATTTATTACTTTCCTTCATTAATATTTTTCTCATAGAATGTATTTTAATAACACATATTTATTGATGTATTAATAAGTAGTCAAAAAAACCACTTGTTGAGCACCTAAAGGGCAAAGTGAACAAGTCTAGGATATTGCTGAATAAAGTTAGATGATAATGATGATGATGATGATGATTTATTTATTTGTTTATTTTGGTACCAGGAATCAAACTCAGAACCTTATGCTTGCCAGGCATAAGGAATCAAACTCAGAACCTTATGCTTGCCAGGCATATGCTTGCTGTGCTACTGAGCTATATCCCAGGTCCCAAAGTTAGCTTATTAAAACTGGTACTTGTTTATCTAAGGTAGTGCTCCTAGCTAAATCCTTGTTGAATTAGAAAATGTTATTTGACGGAGGAAGGAAAAAGGAGCAAAGAATAAAAAACAAAATCTAACTCAGCTTCAAAGCCAAGAACCAAGGCACAAAAGAAAGAGGTAATCTTTGAACTCTTTAGTTCTTGAATTTTAGCAGTCAGCTTGTTGAAACTTGTGGACTAACCCTTCCTAGATTTTATGGAGCAGTGTCATGTTTTTATTTCCACATGTGAAAAGGTGATTCTTATGTGTACCCAAGTTTGATACCCACTTTCACAAAGAAACTTCTCCAAGTTTAGAATCAATAAAGAACAGCAAATTACAAGGGAACAACACAAATTTCACAGTCTGAAGCAATTAGCCAGTAAAATCTTTAGTAAAATTTTAAAGGTAGTTAGTTGGCACTTCAAGAGAGAATATTAGTGTACTTAGATGATTTCTTGAAAAAGAAGTCAAGATTATGATTTTGCCTCATATTATAAAATAGGTTAGGATAGGGAGTGTTTTTAAGGCAGCCCTTAGAATTCACAGCTCATGCAAGCTCAGCAAAGGCAGATGAACTGAACGGTTGAACTTACTTGTGCATTTTGGCAATAAGGACTCTGAAGCTCTGCTCTGCAAAAGCCCAGGACACGAAGGGTGGGGCTGCTGCACGTCTGGATGGAAATGAATGATCAGAGCTGCACGAGAATGCTTTGTTCCACTCTCCACCCCTCATTTTGATCAGTATTCAGAATGACTTTTCAATATTTTTTGAAAAAATACGCATTTGTGTCTCCGGTCATTTTCAGAAAATGTCTTGTAGTAGAATGAACACAAGCACAGCACAACTCTCTAGTTTCCAGCCATATTTTCAAGTAAAATGATGCTGCGGTGGTAAAGGCCAGACAGCCCAGGGCTTTTAGGGTGATGGATCCCGAGGAAATGTTTCCTTACTTTCTTAGTAAATACATCAGAGAATACAAACAGCAAGAGAAATCACTAATCACAGAAAGAATAATTTTCCTGCATGTGATACTGCAAAATATTTTGGATTTTTTTTTTCCAATATTCCAATATTTTGGAATTTTTTTTCCAAAGTGGTATGGCCCAAGAGGAAGTGTTACAGAGGCAAGCAGTAACTGTGATCCTGCTAATCTTGCATACCATAGGTAAATATTCTTAATTGATTAAAGATATATCTCTAAAGTAATATAAAAGTTTTGTCCTAGCTAATATTTTCCTCTACTGTCTTGCTATAAGAAAAAAACAATGCAAAGATTTCTTCCCTACTAAAACCAACAGAGGCAAGAGATGGATTAAGAAACACAGCCTGACAAGAAATTCTGGAGGGAAATCATCATAGTGAAGGTGAAAGTTTGCATTAAATACTTACAGAGTAGCTAGAGAAAGATTCTGAACAATAGTATTATGAAGAAATGAAAGGCATTAATTTTAATGACATCAATGAGAAGGACTGAATTGAGCAGTCTGAAGGAATGGTTAAATCACACAGAAAGAAAGAAACATTTATTGAGCAGTTATTATATTCTGCAGTTTTCACATTCTAGTATTTTTCATGGAACATTCTCTTTTTTTAAGGTAAAGAAATGGAGGCACTGAGAAAATAGATATCCCAGTCAAAGCTAAATGCCTACAGATGGGCTGGCTGAGGTTTATATCTGTAGTTGTTGATACTTATTCCACGATATTCTGCACTATATCGTACGTTTTGGACAGAGCCTATGAAGTTTATGATACAACAAAGGAATTAATTGGTACAGCTTTTTCAAATTGCTTTGCCTTTCACTCAGATGAAACATGTCCTGGTTATGGGTTGCTGGGAAAGGCTAATTAAGGGGGTAGAGATAGCTAATAATCCTGGCATGTGTTATTTATTAAAGCATACTTGAATTAACTGTGCACTATAATAAAATATCACCTAACATCTTTCAAAAGGGGCAAGGTATAGATTCGAGCACACAGATTGAGAAGACAGTTATGTTCCCATTGTAGTTAGTAAACTTTACTAGTACCATTCTCTGGAAAACTAGACCACTAATAATAAGATATAACCTATTAGTCTAGATCCTGATTTTAAAATAAATCAGTACCAAAAAATCTACTTAGGCTTAACATGTGTCTAAGGGAACACAGTTACTACACCAACCCTCTTCCTGATACGTACAAATAATCCTTGGCTTTTGTTATCTTTGATTTTATTACTTGAGTTAAACCTAATCCTTCCAAATGAGACCCACACACTGTGAAACTGCAGTAAAAGACCTTGCTTGTGTGTTCACAGTAAGTCATGTGTGGCGCTCTTTTCTCTATTTTCGGGACAGAGCTGGCACGTGGTTTTATTTAATCAAATGATCCATGGGCCTCTACAAAGAAGAGATAATGACAGCCTGGAATGACTGTTTTGTGCTGCAAAAACCGGAGTGTGGAACAATTACAAGCTCAATCCCAGGCACAGGCTGCTTCGATCTTTTCCTTTTCCTGTAGAGTTTATTCCAGTGAATTGCATCTGGATGATGAAGTCCAACCAGTAGATTTGTTCTGCCAGCCTCTATCCTCTGAAAGCAGAATTGCCTTTACAGAAAGCCCTGCCAGTGCTTTGTGCAGCCTCCTGTGAAGTGTCTCCTCTGAAAATAGCGCTTTGATCCTCCTTTCTCAGCTCATTCACTGGCACTGTAATCCTTAGAGAAATTCTCCTATTTTTTAATCCTTACATTTTCTTTTGTATTTTGATTGGTTCTTGATACAATTTGTGGTGCCAGGAAGTTATTTATGTTTACTTAAGGCATTTGAGCTATGCTCTCTAACTTTAATTGTGGCCAAACAAAAGTTCTTAAGCTTCTATTGTGTTTTTCAGTGTACTATATACTAAGAGGAAATCAACATATATATTGCAGTCCTGTTGGACTGCTAAAATTATGTGCAAATTTCTACCAGTAATGCAAGGAAGGAATAATAGTTCTAGGTTTGACTTACAAAGATCTTTGTTTTCTTCATTTTTTTTAAAGAAAAATTATAATTAAAATTTATAAATATTTTGAGAGTCTTGTTCTCACACCTAAAAATAAAGGTATCCAAGCTTCTCTTGGAGGTCTGCCAGATATATTTGAATAGTTCAGGATGTGAATGCTTCAGCATAAACCCAGTAACTTTTCTCCTTATTTACAGTCTTTCTCCAACACACATCTGCTCGACCCTACTGTGAGATGCGTTCTAATATAACTCCCCATTGCTCTGTGTTTTTCATTACATTCTCCTTGACTGTTATAATTTTTTCCATATTTATATGTGGTAATCTTGGCATATTACCCCCTCTTCCATGTAAAAATATTAAAATTACTCTTTAAATCACTATATTGTTCTTGTGAGATGTTTTGTTCAAATCTTATCAGAACTTAGATGTCCACTCAGCGGAGATAACTAGGAAAAAATAATCCTGCTAAATATTTGAAAGAACTGCTTTAAGCAAACATCCTCTAACCGGAAGTTAAAAGTCCTAAGTGAAATTCTGACTTAATTAGAGTAATCCAATTGATTTCATGTAATTTTTACTCTCATGAGAAACATGGTAGTTGTCATATTCTCTCTGTAGTGTTTTGTGTTCTAAAATATGGAGTTTTAATGAATTATAAATGTTATGCTTTTGAAAAGTAGACTATCCCTGTATCACTTTAGTATTTTCTTTCCATTATGTGGCTTTTAAGACAATTAGCAAGGGCTCAGCATGTCCTCACTAGGATTTAGTTTTACTTCATATAACTTAAGTGTTAGCTCTTGAACACATGCATTGATCCTTATAAATTAAGCTGATAAAAATTTCTTTCAAATAGCATCCTGTTTAACTCCCAAAATACATGTAAACTCTTCATGCAAGATTTTATCTGCACTACTCAGATATTTTGTGTATCTGGAAATGTCTCTGAGAAATCTCTTACATATGCATTTTGCTAAAAGTTCATTGGGACAGCAATACTCCTTGGGTCAAGAGCCATGGGGTCAGCTATCAGAGTGACCTTTGATTGAGAATCAATCAATCAATGCTCCTCAAAGAGGAGCATCTCTATTTACATAGGGCATTTGTACTCATCAGTTTAAAGAGGAATCCTACTGCTGTAAGTTCTTCAAGTTGTTTATTTATCTGGCATTCAGGAGAGAAATATTGGTCCTGACCGTGTCATCTGGGTCCTTGAAGGCTATAATCTCATTGCTCAGGGCCTTAGCTTCCTCACTGGTAAAATGAATCATGTGTTACTCATTCACTGTATTCTTTGAAAAAGAGTTACTCTAGACTTTGGACACAAAGAAGCTACCTTTTATATTTTATTCTTGTATGTTTCTTATTCTAAAATCAGAAAGCCCAAGAGTTTGAAGAAAAGTTATTAAAAAAATATTGAAGTATGAATACAGCTACACAGAAAGCACTGAGAGGTGAGAGTTTAATTTTAAAACAGTAAGAAGAAAGATGTGGGAAGAGCCACTTGAAAGGAAGGCCTTTGGGCAAAGCAGTGATGTAGAGATGGGCTGGTGACAAATCTTCACTCACAGGGACCAGTTTGCACATTTGCTGTATTAGAACAAAGAACACAGGGCACTCCCGACTTCTGCGGATAAGTAAATCTCCCCCATCAATTCACCTTATCTCTTGGTCTTAGGAGAGCTATTAAATTTTTGTCTTGTTTTCCAAAAAACTAGTTTTAATTTAAGGTCATGGAAGAATTCAAAAGCAGTCAATCTGTGTGTTCATGGACAACGCATGAGCATACAAAAAGAACTGTTATTATTTTAGTAAATAAGTAAAATGACTTCAGGGAAGGGAGTAGATGGAACGGAGACTAACGGCCATAGTCAGTAGAATCAGGTCACAACAATGAAAGGCTCAGAAAGCTATGCTTGTCAGAGCAGGAGGGGATGAGTGGATGTGGCTTGTACTTGTTTACTGGTCAGTGTGTGACTTCATCTGGAACAGGAAAATCTTAAAACCCTAGAGGAGAAAGGTGGTTTTCCACACAAATAGTTGGAGAGCCAAGAAGGAAAATGATAAAGGGCTGAGAGGTTAGCAGTTACACTGCAGTATCTACTGCAATGTATCCCTGTGCCAAGAGTGGGTTTTCAAAGAGGGAGGGACACTTTAAAAAGTAGTAAGTGAATTAGTAGTGAACTAAGCTCTGGATAGTTCAGAACTGCAGTGGAGAAAAAAATGGATGACAGAGCTCATAATATTTAACTCACTGAAGAGTAAATTGTATTGTGATGGCGTTTAAAACAAATCCTGTCGAACTTTGATCTTTTCTCCATCTAAATCAGAGGCAGAAATGATGTTTTCTAAATCAGTTTATTTCAAAGAAAGGGCACTGAATATCTACTAGAGATTTAGTATATATGTTGTGTAAGATCACTGTAATGAAGTAAATTTTCTTGAATAGAAGGGAAGAGAAAATAATCCCATTTTCCAAGAGTGGAGAAAAGTCTTCATGGGCCCTACAAAGTCACTGAAGCTTTAGCTTTGGGATTAACTTGGCTCCAGAAAGATCTGACTTCGAGTAATGTGTTTCTAAGGATATGAGTTCTTAATGTTTTCAAATGAAGAAACAGAAGAGTCAGCTGCCTAGATGGCTTAATAAAGAAGCCAAAGAGGACATCTGTCTTGGAATCTATTTTAAAAAGTGAATTGCATAACTCACACTGAACTTTCAAAATTATTATTCAGAACTCCAAATCAAGAATATTCATATAAAAAATTTAGACATTACCCTCCAAAAGAAAGACTTCACAGAGAAATAAGATCCAACCACTTCATTTCCTGAAAGATCCTAAAAACAAACACACATTTAGCTGAATATTGAGATGTTTTTGGTAATACTTCATTGGTATTCAAAATAAAAGCAAATCAAAGCAAAGCAAGCTAAAAACAAAAAAGATGCATATCTTAAAGTTATTCTGCATATTTAGAAACTCAAGTTTTCTTCCCTTGCATTTATTGAAGATTTTTTGTTTTATTCATCTATGACACCATGACAACAAAGTTTAGAGAGAGTTATTTATGCACATCGTAGAGAGTTCACTTACCTCTTTATTCTTAATTGTTCATTAATACATTTTTGAGTCTGATGTTTCATTAGAGAAAGTAGAACTGTGTAAACTTATTTTAAGAATTTGAAATAAAGCACATAATACCTGTTCCTTTAGGAAAATAATAATGTTCACTGTAGAATTTCAGAACATTTTAAAAACTGGTAGCAAAAATTTTACTTGAAACATATACCTGGTTCAATTTCAGCATAAAAAATTTCCCAATTTTATGATCTAATATATATGACTTTATTAATTTGAGTACCTTTATTTTATTCTATTTTTTTAACTTAAGTAACTTTAAAAGAAATGCACACTGAGAAAAGAAGGTATTGGTTTAAGAACAGAACAATGTATTCAAATTGTATATTTTATTACTTAATTTTTAGATCTTTATAAATTAAAACCAATTTAACTTTGGGAGTTAACTATTTCTAAGCAGTGTATTTTTACATGCTGTCTTGGCTGTGAGTCATGATAAATCTATGAGAAATCCAGGAAAGCAAAGGGATAGATAGTATCAGTCTTTCATACCGTGATGAAGAGGAAGCAGTCCTACAACTACCCTGATTATTCTATGGTTTTGTGTTAGCTGCTAAGACAGTAGCGGCTCTGTAGCACCTCACCTATTGAGCATAGTGAGTGACTGTTAGTCACTTAGGGTAACACTGAGCTAAGGATATATACACTGTGATCCAAAAATCATTAGAAATAAAAATAAAACTATTCAGCAATTTGAATAATTTAAGCTTAGACCTCAAAATAATTCAGAGATTTTCTGCACAATATACTGGTGCTTTTGAAATCTATTTCTTTGTGAAACCAATTTACATTTTTCTAAGTTATTGGCTTAGGGCTTGGTCATGTAGGTTACTTATGTCAAAGGTTTTTGAGAAAAGTTTTGCATTGCAGACTGTGTTTTATCATCACTACAAAGTCATGACTCATTTACAGCTATACCTACGGTTTTCATCTGACACACCTGACAAATCATCACATCAGATCCTAAATCACAAAAATCCTTAAAAATTACTGATACATGTTAAGGGGCACAGACCTTAGAATGACTGCAGTCTATTTTTCTTTCTTTTCCTTTCTTTT